ATATATATATATATATATATATATATATATATATATTTATTATATATATATTTATTATATATATATTATATATTATATAAATATATTATATATATATATATATATTACATATATATATTATATATGACATATATATATATTTATATATATATATATATATATATATATATATATATATATATATATATATTAAGACATTTTTAGTTTATATATTCTTTTATAGATACAAATATTTAAGTAAATGCTGTTTTATAATAAACAGTATTTATAACATTTACCGTCCTGAATGTGCGAGAAATATATATGCATCCTCCGACAGGAATCGAACCTGTGTCCTATACGGTAACATAAAAAATAAAAAAAAACAAACAAAAATGTCTTAAAATAATTGTGGGACTTTGTCCATTTCACAATGTGTGACGTCATTTGTTTACATTAGGATACGCTTAGAGCAGATATGAATGTACGTGTGAGATTCATGGAAGATTGAAGTTTAAAAGCAGTAAAATCGACCTTGCTGATCGAATTATCGTCCGTGGCTCGATCGGTTAAGGCACGTCATGCTATATGATGGTTCCGTATAGGATACTGGTTCGATTCCTGACGGAGGACGAATATTTTCTATGAAAATTCCTCGCACATTCAGGCAGGTAAATATTATTATTACTCTTTATTATAAAACAGAGCATTTACTTAAATATTTGTCTCTATAAAAAGAATGTATAAACATAAAAATGTCTTAAAATAATTGTCGGACTTTGTCCATTTCATATATATATATATATATATATATTAGTAGATAAAATCAAAATACCACACAGCACCCAAAATTCTAGAAGCGTTTATTATACAAAAGGTTAAATCCAAACTAAATAAAATATACTTCATTTCAGGAGACAATGTTTTAAATTGTGTAGAAAACATTTTAAAATGTCTACAAGATAATAATAATAATAATAATGTGTATAAATATTTGAACTGCTTCCGTGAAACTGTTTACCACTTGGTTTCATTTTGGATTAATTCGATTTTCAGCGTTCTCAAAAATATGAGAATGTAGCTAAGAGAATCTTGTTTGACAACACACAGTTCTTGCTAATGACGTTTGAAAGTACTAGAACAAAACAGAACCAAAAATGAATTTCGGAGAGTTTGTCCAACTTTGATCCCGATGTACAACAACTCATTCGAAAAGTGAGAAAATAGAATAAAACGATAAACGAAAAAAATACGATTAAAACTAAACAATAAACACTTCGTCGGTTTATCTGAAAAAAACTTGTTTACATCTATCTATCTATCTATCTATCTATCTATCTATCTATGACATTCTTGGCAGTTTTTCTGTTATCTCATTGTGGGATAGTTAAAAAAATAAACATGATAAAAAGAAAAAGGATATAGATCAATTTGGCTAGATTGCAAAAATTACAAAAGTAAAAAACAACAACAACAACAACAAAACCCCCCAAAATATTCATTTAAAAATTTTGAAAGTACTAGCGTCTCTCGTTCATGCACATGTTTAGCCATGGTAACGTCAACAAACCCAGTCTGATAACGTCCTAACCGATGAAACGCGCCACAAAACAATTTTTCAATTTGTCATACTATTTTCTCAATATATATATATATATATATATATATATATATATATATATATATATATATAAAGATTAATTAACTTTTAATTATAATCTTTTTTGTTATTTTCCCGGCTTCAAAGTTTCTTGGTAAATTTCCGTTCTTCAGGGGGTTCTGGTTTTAAGTGATATTTCCATTTCTTTCAATTTGTTCCGCATCTTTTTCAATCCGTTTTTTACTCCGTTTTGTACACTTGCGTATACATGAATTTAACGTTCTAACACGCGCATGTTCATGAATTTTTGCTTTTGTTTACGTCTTCATTTTTTCCCCTGTAAAATTTTCTTCGAGTTGTAAATTTTTTCTTCGAAATTAAATTAATTTTTTATGGTTTATATAGAAGTCGTTCTGTCATGTTATATTATTAATTAAATTGTAATATTTGTTAATTTGTATCATTTATTAAATTATAATATTTTGTATTATTAATTAATATTTTAATTGATTTATGTTATATTATTGTTAAAGTAACAAAGTAAATATTTGCTAATATGTCGGCATCGCCACACACATACAGACATATATTCAAACATATTGTTAAACATAACAGACAATGAATGTCGATTATGTTTAATGATGAGTCGTTGTAAGCTTCGTATAGTTGCTTTAATTTTGGGAGAAAATAAAGAAAAACAGTTCAACATTTAGATATTTTTTTTATTCCGTACCATGTGGGAGAACGAAATATTAACAACAAGACCATATGTCTAGATGCAATGTAATGTGTTGTGACTAGTTTGAAATGTAATTTTGTTGAGTGTGTTGAATTTACGACTTGCGTCTGCTATTCCACAACCGTTATCATCATATAACAATCTTCCATGTCAATATAACAGAATATCATGTTTGATGGTGAATATCTTTGTTTAAACGTCTGCAAAACCACCCTGAAGATGGCTCATATGAGCCGAAAGCTTAGATCAAGGGACAGCGTAATAAAAAAATATCCAAATGTTGAAGAGACACGGCACATAGAATTAGAAAAATGAGCTTGAGTAAATGGATGACAGAAAAGGGTTTAGGAGAGATAACAAAAAGACAAAATTTATTAAGAACTACAAAGGACAGGAAATTGTGGAGGACCATGATCGCCAACGTCCTGAAGAACTACGACACATAGGAGAAAAATGAGCTTGAGGAAATGGATGACACAAAAGGGTTTAGGAGAGATAACAAAAAGGCAAAATTTATTAAGAACTACAAAGGACAGGAAATTGTGGAGGACCATGATCGCCAACGTCCTGAAGAACTACGACACATAGGAGAAAAATGAGCTTGAGTAAATGGATAGCAGAAAAGGCTTTAGGAGAGATAACAAAAAGTCCAAATTTATTAAGAGCTACAAAGGACAGGAAATTGTGGAGGGCCATGATCGCCAACGTCCTGAAGAGCTACGGCACATAGAAGAAGAATGAGCATGAGTAAATGGATAGCAGAAAAGGCTTTAGAGGAGATAACAAAAAGACAAGAAGATCATAGTTGGATAGGAAGTAAGAAGCTGAAAGAGAGTGCCACAAGCGAGAAGTGTAAATGAAGAAACTGTTAGCATAGAACTTACGGTTACATCTAGCCATTTCAAATGTAAAATGATGAGACCTTGTTGCCAGTCTAGTACTGCGTTTAAATTCATTCTAGGTCCTATAGATCAATTTAATCAGAACAATTTACATGAAAGTATTTACAGAAAAGACATAGCGAATCTACATTACGGAAGATAGGAAAGTGACTGAAACCGGGATGCCAGGTCAGGACCAATGTCATTGCAGATTCTTCTTTGGATTTTATCAAGAATCTCTAAATGTATAGCAGAATTAATTAAAGTTTTCTAAAAGACCTCTATTATTTACCGTATTTGATGGCATATAAGACGAATTTTTTTAATTAAAAATATCTTTTAAAATTCCCTTGCATCTTATATGTCATATGTAGGTTAAAATTCGCGGTAGTTGACCGAAATTAGCTACCTGGTAACTCCTATTAGCTTAGACTTTAAAGTAACTTTTATATACCTAGTGTCATTATTTAAAATGCTATTATGAAGATTAAAAGTGTTATCATTGATAATATTCATTAAATTAATGTCATCATATTTAATATTAGTACTTTGTTTCACTAAAATTATATGCAATAAATTCAAATTATATATTTGTAAAATATATTTGTTTCCTTAATATTTTTTTGCGATAACTTCCGGTTGCATTTGTATAAATACAATCAGAATTTTTATATCCTAATTATTCCACTAAGATGTTTACAAGACGTAGGTTGTACAGATTATATAAAGGAAAATTTTTGACTGAATTTTAATGGTAACTGTATTTTGCTCAATTGTAATAATTACTTGATTTTTATTTTTTCTTACCTTTGGATATGATAAAGTTTTTATAGGATCGTGTTCTTTTTTGCCTTTTATTTTTCGATTAATTGTAATCAGGGCTTGTTTAACCAAAATAATACCTCATAGATATCGCCTAGGTTGTACCATTTACTAATAATTTTACTAATTACTAATTTTTTCTTGATTTTCCCAGCTGAAATTGTGGCGTGTCTTATACAACTGTGCGTCCTATATGAAGTCAAATACGGTACTTATATAAATAGTAAATGATACGACACATAAAAGAAGATGAATGATAAAAACAATGGTGTGTATTTTACTTACATTTCTGTGAACGTAAATTGTAATCTCTGTGTTTTGTATCATGTTTCTGATTTTATGTCAGGACAGGATAAACGTTAGTATGCGAGACGCTTAAGTAGTTGTTAATCTATTCTATTTTTATTAATGAATTCTCGGGTTGCCTTTTAAGTATCTTAAGCAAACAAAGCATTGAAGAATAAAGAAAGAATTGAGTAGCTCCATGAAAAACAAACACTACTAAACTAATATGAATACCTTTTATTATAAGCAAGAATTTCACTCTTTTGTTGCAATCAGGTAGTTGAATACCAGAGCGGATTTCTTTGACGATAAAAGAAAATCCCGAAATCAAAGCAAGGCAAAGAAATGTGGATTATAATTCCTGCCATTTTTTATTTTATTTCATAATGAAACAAACTGAACGGACACGGTCTTTTACGTTTTGTTTTTGTGTATGTTTTAGCGATGCTTATCTCGATAAGAACAGGAGATAATTGATGTTATCAGAAAAAAATGTGGAAGAGAGATGTAGTAGCTCTAACGAAGAAAAAAATATCATTTTTTGTTTCTTTATAAGATGCCGGTACGACCTTCTGAGAAGAAAAGTCGACCACAAAAATGGAGGGAAGCCAAGTAGAATGCTATCGTGAGATCCTGTCAGATAAGAAATAAAATAAAGTGCTTTGCGTCATTAAGTTAAGCGTTGTCTTAAGAC